TTTCTGTTCACAGTAAGTTGTGTGGTCTTTGGATTTCAGAGCCTTTGAAATCAGAGGTATCAGTGAAGGGAAGAGCTGGGAAGATAAGGGTTTTAAACTAAGGAGGTACTAAAGGAGGCCTTGTTTTGCAGGAAAAAAAAAAAAGTAAAGGGAGGATGGAATCTTTGTAAGGGAGACTCTTGAGTGAGGGCACAATCATCTCATTATTGGAAGATACCTGGTTACAAGGGGTTGGGGAGCTTGGAGTAGGTGACTGTCATGCACATCATTTTCTCTCTCCCTTATTCTCAATGGTGAAGAGAACTTGGGATCCAAGATAAAATTGTGTTGTTAACTGAGGAGCTGCAAAAGTACAAATCAAGGAAGCCCCTTCCTCTGAAGAAGATGAAAAGTTCACTTTAGCCTCAACTGGGAGAAACTAGAAGTCCTCTACTGTTGAAGCATCTCACTTCAAGACAAGGGCTCCTCCAGTAAGGCAAAAAAGAATCATTGTCTAGGGACTAGAAGACAAGTATTAGCTCAACTCATGATAAAAATTAGAAACGTGCAAAGTTTACATCTAGGATATTATTTCTTTAATATCAAAACTAATAAAATGTCCTCATGAATTATTTTTATCATGAGCTAAAGTTTTTTATTTAAATGAAGAATAAGGAATGGAAAGTTATATTTGACTCTCCTGCCATTAACAAAGCCTATATTACAAGCCTGATGATTGATGTCAGAGACTAAGTCACCCCCACCTTGGATGTAGTATGAAGTTTTAAGGGATTGAATCCAAATAGGCTACATCCATAAATTATTAATTGCTTCATACCCAGGATGAGAAAAATATCCTGTTTTATGCACAGAGTAAAGAGTAAAGAGGAAGTGGGAGCTATGTGGTTTCTCACATTTAGAATTTAATCTGAAACCAGACTCTTCTAATTCCGTCACTCTGCAGACTTTTGGTGGGATTATATATATGTGTGTGTGTGTGTGTGTGTGTGTGTGTGTGTGTGTGTGTGTGTATATATTTCATTTTATTTTTTTTTGAGACAGAGTTTCACTCTTGTCACTCAGGCTGGAGTGCAATGGCACGATCTCAACTCACTGCAACCTCTGCCATCTCAACTCACTGCAACCTCTGCCTCCCAGGTTCAAGTGATTCTCCTGCCTCAGCCTCCTGAGTAGCTGGGATTACAGGCGCTAGCCACCATGCCTGGCTAATTTTCGTAATTTTAGTAGAGAACGAGGTTTCACCATGTTGGTCAGGCCAGTCTCAAACTCCTGACCTCAGGTGATTTGCCTGCCTTGGCCTCCCGAAGTGCTGGGAAATTTATATATATATTTATATATAAATATAAATATATATATATATATATATATATATATATATATATATATATATTTAAAGAAATGGAATGTGTCAACATCCTGGGTAGAAACTAGGACAAACACATATACTGTCAATCTAGGATCATTTTTGTTCATTCTTCTAGATGTTTGCAATGATGTTTGGAGGTAGTATTATTACAACTCTACAGAGTCATGGTTTAGTAAATTTCTGTTAAATATATTAATAATAAAACACTAATGTAACAAGCTACTAAAAATGAGAGTTAACATGAAATAGTATGGCTGCATAAGAAGCAAGGTGAACTTATACTGCATCAAAAAAACAAACACATAAAGTCATGAGTGGTGGCTCATGCCTGTAATTCCAACTCTGGGAGGCCAAGGCAGGAGGATCACTTGAGGCCAGGAATTGAAGACCAGCCTGGGCAACGTAGCGAGATCTTGTCCCTACCAAAAAAAAAAAATTGCTGGGCATGGTGGAGCACACCTGTAGTCCCAGCTACTTGAGAGGCTGAGGTGGGAGGATCGCTTGAGCTTAGGAGTTGGAGGTTGCAGTGAGCTATAATTGCACCATTGCCCTCCAGTCTGGGTGACAGATCAAGACCTTGTCTCAGAAAACAAGAACAAAACCCAAACCTAAAGAACTTATTAAAGCTACAAAGTTAAATGTTGTTTGGTGATATGTTTCTCAACATACAATTGTTATTAAAAAGGATTTGCTTACCGGCATTATGTTGGAGAAATGATAACATAAAATTTATTTGATCCATTTGTGCAGTGTAGACCAGGTCATTTGGAACTGAGAAACCTAGATTCCAAAACTTAAGGACCTGGAGGGGAAGGAGCAAATGGAAGGTGGCATTTGAATACTCACTATGTGTTAGACACTTTCAAGCTTCCTCACACGTATTTAAGTTTAATCCTGATCACATCACAGTTTTGTAATTCAGGAAAGAAACTTGGGGGAGGAAGCTGTCCACAGTCAGTAAGTTTCTAAGTGGTGGGGAGAGTGCTTTGACCACAAAGTTCCTCCTCTTTTCACTTTAGGATGCTACCTACATGTCGAAATTGTGAATTCATTCTCACTGCTACACTTCATTTCCTTGGAAAGCTAAGTTTAGGGAAAGGTGCATAGAATCACTAAGCCAAGCAAATTGGCTTCTGGAATCACTCTAAACCAAAGCTAGAAGGACTCACATTCTTCTAAAAAGAAACTTAGCAGTAGATGTAACATACTGTACACACAAAAGTTGAAAACTAAAAACCCGTTTCTGCTGGAGGCAGGAAAAGAGGAAGAACGCAATATAAAGAAACTGGATTTGCAGTCAGAAAACCTGGGTACAAGTGTCAGTTCTGCAGCTCTCTTAGATATGTAACTCCAAGAAATATTTTAACCTTCCTGAGCCTAAATTTTCCTCATCACTTACCAGATCATGTAAAGAGAACAACAAAGAGATAAAGGATATTTTAAGCCATAAAAATATCATAAAATGTGATTTTTATTTAATAGTTCATTTCTCTCTATGTTAGCAAATCTATACATAAGCCATTAAAAATGTTTAAATCTACAGAGGTAATTCTTTAGCCTTTTCAGCATCCTGTGGGGTGGGCAGAGATGTCTTTTCTTCTTTCCAATCCTGTTCCAATAAGTTCGTTTGAAGGGAAAGGGTTAGAAAGAGATCCTGGGTGAAACTATTTTCCCATTCTCTGTCTCTTCTTTAAAAATTACTGATTTCCTTCTCCTGGTCTGTTTTTAAAAAGCTCAGGTAGATCACAATAGATTTCCTACAGGTAACAAAACTCTTTTCCTATTTCCCTGATGGATACAGTTTTGAAGCACATTAAAGTTCAAAATCAATAACTACCTGGAGAAGACCAACAATTATAGTACCAGGAGGTCAACAGGAGCCTGAAGATACCTACAGGGGAGGGGGCATGGCCACCCTGCTCAACAACAATCTTAAAGGTTAGGAATATTGCAGCTTCCTGCAGCAACAAGACAGTTTTGTCTTTCATAAACTGAAAGTATCGGTATTTCCTGCCAAATTAATCTTTTGGAGTAATAGTTCCTATATAGTTATTTTATTAAATCTGTTTCAAAGAGGACAAGCCAGACATAGAGTGCAAAGTGATTCCTATAAACTCATCGAAACTTTCCACTCCTTCCAGCATCTTGAGTCTCTAGATTTCATACCTGCCTTACTTAACCCCAAACTGTGAACATCAAGTCATTTTGTCATTCATCGTTAGGACAGAAAAGAAATCTAATGATTGGGAAGACTCAGGTTAGAAAGACTCAGGTTTGCTTGTTTCCAGAGCCAACCTGGGTTTGAAAATCAAGAGATAACATGGTTTCAGCCAAGAAGGAAGAATTATAGTAGTTATCCAGACATTCAATCTGGCTGCACGTGAGCCTTCACTCTTTCCAAACCACCTCACCTCCCTCACACACGTGCTTCTACCTCAAATACTATATCCCAAACAATTTTAACCAAAATCACTACAACAACTGCTTATCGTGTTCAATTTGGGTACAAAGCCTCAGCAAAAACTAGGAATAACGTCTCAATCTTGAGGTTTTAAATATTCTCTGTGTGGCTGGTTGGCTAAATGACTATAGAGCAAGTCAAAGAGTGTGGTGGCTTTCGGAGAGTGTTTGGAATTTTTGTCTCTCTATGTGTTTGTATGCGCATGAAAACTAAAGTTGTTGAAAATGTGAAGATTTCAAGCATTTTTGAAAATTTATTAATATAAATGGGAAAAACTAGCTCAGTCAAAAGTTACAATTTAAATTTCCTGGACATACAGAGTGTTTGGAAATGATCCTCGAGGAGCCGTAACTAGGTAATAGGAATTGGGTACATAGATGGAGGTGGACGTTGGTGGGAAGTCTCAGGTTACCCGCAAACTCCAAAGGAGGCCACTGTTTACCCCAAAGGATGCTGACCTCTATTCCATATACTTCAGAAGCTCTTAACCTACCTGGAATAATGAGTGAAATGTTTGAAATATGTGAAAAGTACCATGCAAATATCTATTTGTTAAAATATGGCTTTCGTTTAGGTTAATTGCAATAAGAAAAGTAACACCCTCATTTCTATGACTCAGTCTTAGAATATGAGAATTTTCTCATGCAAAGGCTCCTCCCTGAGCAGTTAGATAGACATGAGTTTGATTTGTTTTATTGACAGAATAAGGGGAATGAACCCAACTTGGCCTTCTCCTCCTTTGAAATTGAGAATCCATAAATTGTGGGCCCAATGGAAAGTCAATTAACTGATGCTGTAGGGAAGCTTAGTGTGGCCAGGTCTTAACCGGCTGCCTTTTAGGCCACCATGGGCCATTGAACTATTTGAACCACGAAAGCATTTTTTGTTGCCTTTCGTGACTGAATGGCATGTTGTCATTTTCTTTACTCTGAAGGAGTTTCTTACTGTCACTACAAAACATAGCAACAGCCGGGATCCAGGCAGTCATGCTCTAGAATATTCTCTCTCTGTTATTGTGTATGGAGGAAAAAGGAAGCATAGTACTGTCTGGTTGTGTGGCCTCTTCAACGAGGAAGAAAGTGATAAACAGCATTGGTGGGGAGGAGATGATTTGAGAACAGGTGCTGTGGCAAAAGCAATGGACAGACAAGAGGCAACAGATAGACAAGGTGATCATGGGGTCCATGGAACACAATCCTGAATTAGCACAACTATGGGAATGAGATGAAAGTTGCTGGTCTAACAGACTGAAGCTGTAGTCTGCCGAGCAACACTCCCAGGTCTCCACAGAGTAGCATTTTTATTGCAGTATGTCTTTCATGGAAAATGGACAAAACTTTAAATAAATCACAATTACTTATTGCTTAGTATTTTGAATAATAAATTCTTTAGTTTATCAGTACCTCACGGCCTTCAATGTGCATTCTTCAGATAGTTTCAGTTACATATACATTCTTTCTCCTGAACAATAAATTATTCTTAAAAAAAAGAAAAGGAAAAGATACATAATTTTAAAGCAAAGAAAAACAAAAGAACATATATTTTTGACATTTATCTTAAACTTATATGGAAACAACTCTATATGTTAGATGCTTAAATATAAATAATAAAGGACATTATGTTATTTACAATGTTACACAGTAAGTTGAGAGAGTAAAAACTGACATTAACTCATAAAAACAGTAAATGATATAAGAAAACATCCAAGTAATATACAATATGTATTTACAAAAGAATATATAATAGAACTTGTGATATGTGGCCATTTCCTTCTGCCTACATTTCTCTTCAGTGTTTCATAGGTCTTTGCAGATAGAAATCTTTGGCTGGTGGAATGCAGCCAGTACTATTAATACAAGATAAGACCAGGCCTTCCTTATTTTCACCAATGTGAGCCATGCGCCCTTTAACCCCAGGCCATAAAAAGGAATAGTTACTGAGCAAGTTACCCTGGATAAACTCCACCTCTATCAAGACAGTCACACTGAAACAAGGAAGAGATAGCAGGTTTCGGACACGTTCACCCACACAGAGGACCATTTTGTAGAAACTAGAATGCTGTCCAGGCACTCTTGGGGGCAAAAGTCATACTAAGCAGGAAGGGAAAGTAAGACAGAAAGTGAATCTTAGGTAAAACAAAAGGAGTTTTGCATGTATTTGCATGTATTATGCTCCACTGCATACACCTCAGTGGGATATGATTTTCGACCCAGGAAACAAAGTTGCTGTCAAACTCCTGGGCAATCTCTACCACCTTAAAACCCAAGATAGCTTTCCATATGCTGGGAATATAGGGTCACACTCCGATCGCCACTTCACTGCCTGAATTTATTAACAGAGGTGGTCAAGAGTGACGTGACAAGCATCACAGAGATACCCTTGTGAACACAAATCAAGTGGCCATGGCAGGTGGCGCTGAGCAGTCAATTGGCTTTTCTTATCAAGGGTGCAAAGGACATCCCAACTATAATAATAAGCTACCTCTGTGAGTGATTAGAGTCAAGTTGGAAATACAATTTCCTCTTGTCTTCAATTTTCATATATATTTGCAATTTGAAAATGCATAGCAATTCTCATTGTAAGAAACATGTTGCCCATGGTTCTCAATAGAAACTTCTATTTATTTTTAAAATTCTACCACAATGGGACATCTGAGTTCCCCAATGCCCAAATAATTTTAAACAGAATTTTTAGGGTTTTAAATTCATGGTAGGAATTTCTTTATTGAAATAGCTAAGGATGAGTCAAGGCCTTCAAAGGCAATGTTAAAATAATTTAGAGAACTTCATTGGACTGACTGTCTTCTTCCCCATGCCGTGAGCTTACTCATATCTGCAGAATTGGAAAATCAGTGCAACTTGCAAAGGCTCCTCAGTGTAGGTTAAAAAGCAAATGAGGATACCACTGAGCACAGAGAAAGTGGCATGTGAACAATGACGGAAAATTTGAGATACTAAATAGTAACAGTAACTTCAAGAATCCGCAGACAGGCATCTGTGTGGATTGTAGGAGCATGTGGGAGCGTAACATGACTCATGCCCAGCCTGCATTTTTCTGCTGAGATCTACTTCCATGTCATTTCTTCTTCTTAATTGTTAACATCAAGATTTGGTGAAGAAATATATTCAGTTCACCCGCAAAAAAGAAGCAATTACTCTCACTGACTCCATGAAGCCCCCGATAACCTGTTTCTCATTTGTCCCATGGCTCCTAAGAGGCCACGTGAAACCTAAGTAAAGCTCCAGCCCTGATTTAACAGGTATCAGACAGGCCATGAAATGGGTTCTGTGTTTCAAATAATTTTTTTTCTTCCATTTTCCTTTATTAGCAGTTATTTCAAGTGTTAATATTTATAGGCCTTCCTTTGGATTTACCATCACAAGAGAACATGCAATGCTTAGGCCAATCTTAGTCCTACTTTATGACAGTAAAGCAAAAATTAAAGGAGGTGGGGGAAATGGGTGAGAGAGGCTGTCAATGGAGAGGTCAGGACACAGGTGGGGGTCACTTCCACAAGTAAAGGTGCAATCTTTCCAACAGGATCGACATTTCCTGATGAATCATTACTTGTGATCCCAAATCACATACACATCGGCCATTCCTGATAAAAATGTTCAGGCACAGTTATGACCTGATCAAGGCAACATGGAAAAATACAAGACAAAGAGGGGGAGAAAGGAGTGGTCATCCACATTTTAAAATTTCAACCGAGTCACCAAGTTTCTTTCCACCTATACAGTCACTCCTTCTGAACACTTAACAATGGAAATACTTCCCTATGATGACAAGTCACTGCTATTACAGCAGGCATGTTTGACTCCGGAAGTATTTCAGACAAAATGCTGCATGTGCTGTCTGGGCTGGGCTTTTTGTGCCGTAATATGCCTCTTTTTGAGCCGAGAAGACACAACCAATCACTAGCTTCAAAATCAGTGAAAACTACAAGTCAGAAATGATTGCACCTTTATCAGCCATGGTTTGATCGTCAACTAGATAAGCTGCTGGATCATTCCCCCAGAGAGAAAGTGACATTGAGTCCTCTCATAAGGTGTTAGATTAACCCTGATAGCAAGCCAGAACCCATTTTCTAAGCTATCCCTAAAACTGTTGCTTTTTATCAAGAGAAAAAAAAATTCAAATAAAGTAAATGAGAGCTCCTTTTAGTAAGAGCAAGCTGTCTTCTGATTAATAATATAGTTTTTTTTTTTTAATCACAGTATTACTTTCTTCCTAATATTTAACATTACTTAATGCGGTTTCTTGCTGTATTTAATAGTAGCATGCTGTTGGATCTACTATTATTTCAGAGCCCAATGAGGCAAACCTTTGGCTGGCAGAGTAGACACAACTCATTTCATATTCTGAAAGCAAAGAAAACTTCATACACAAGTGAGGCGTATCTGGATGGATGTGCCATTACAAGACATACTGATCGGGTGCTACTACAAGCAAACAGAGGGACAGTTGCAAGTCTTGCAAATCATACATCCAGTCAACATCATAATGCAATGCACAAGAAGCCAGCAAAAACTGAATCTATGAGAGGTTTTGCTGAAATACTGTGGAAAAGCAATCACTGTAACTGTACAAAACTTGCTCTCGACATAACATAACATAAAGGCACCATTGATATCTTTCTCGTTTTGAAATACTGTAAAAAATTGCTACATATGGCACATAACACATTTTTACATACATATATTTAATTTATAAAAGTTTTTTTTTCCTGTTTTCTATTTGCAGAACTGCTAAAATAAAATAAATTGTTTAATTTAAGGTGGAATACTTTATTATATAAAATAAAGTTTTACAGGTGAATCTATGTGTTTATTTAGGTTTTATACAGCAATAGGGTCTTGGTTAGCAATTACACTAGACAGCCGGGCCTGGATTTCTTCCTGTGTCGAGAAGCGGCCTGCTGGGTTAGTCCTGCTGTCAGCCAGGCGGAAGGCAGGTGTTGCCTCAAGACTGGCTGCCAGGGGGTTCTGTATGCCCAGGAAAGGTGTATCTTCACCTACTCTTTCATCTTCTGTTTCACTCTCTGAGTTACTGCTCTGGGAGCTTGTGTTGCCGTCCACTTCCAATCTGTTAGCAATGTGGCCATTGGGCTTGGTTCTTTTGGCCCGCCGGCTATTGGCGAGTTTCTTAACAGGCTCTTGGGCTGGCTCGTACTCCTGGGTCGTTTCATACTCCTCATCCTCCACTATCCTCAAGGGGCTAGGGGGGAGGCTGTTACTGTCATGCACGGGGTTGTGATGGAAGGAGCTGAACTGCTGAGGGTGATGGTCAAACTTCTTCTCCCGCAGCCTTGGTGGTGTCACGAGAAGTAGAGGTCTCTCTTCTTCCACGAAGGGGCTGACCGCCATGGAAGGCATGGACACCGTCATGCTGGACACGGGTGGAGACATTTCCGAAGGGGGTGATTTGGGGGAGCTTGGCGTGTGGAAATCTACAGGTGACATACGAGCCGGGGTGGTCATGGCTGACACATACCTGTGTGAGCACAGAATACCCTGCATAAGTGTGGTGCAATAAGAGGCACATAGCAGGGAAGGTAAGGGGACAGAGTTCACAATAGTATAACATCAGAGAACAGAGAATTTCTATTCATTGCAGACTGCTCAATTATTTACGCTAGGACATTCTACACCCTTGGAATCGAAAATTAGGTAGCCAAGAGTTTCCTCACAGGAGTGCATGCAAAGATCAGCTAAATTGCCTAGCTCATCAAAGCTTTTGGGATTTTCAATCTCATCACAATTATAAATAAAGGCATATGAGCCAAGATAAGAAGGCATTAGGTCCTGGAAACCTCTCAGCTTATATAAGGACCAAGGCTCAGGGATTCGGAAGGGAAAGAAGTATTACTTAAATACTATACCTTCCTAAAGGCCAAGGGGTCTTAGAGAATGAAGCCCAAATGGGGAATGGAAGAAGATCTAAGATGAGTTGCTGATAGCTGGATCTGCATGCATTTGGATCTGTGTGCCTTGTTTCTCCTTAGCTCAGCTATAAGGTTATGTCTTATGAAAAAAAAAGAGCATAGTAACTTAGATTTATTCCTGACAACAGTGTCATACATTTGTGTGCTTTTCATATTTTCCATGAAATGCAACTAGTTAACATTCAATTTGGAACTATCCATCCCAGTGTCCAACAAACACAGTCAAAGGTAAGCCTGAGAGAGCCTAATGTTGGCTTCACAGTTACCACAATGAGGTTATGTCCAATCTTTGGTCTATCTCTCTTCCAAAACCCACAACTATATCAGTCTTTGGTTAATCTCTTTCATGATGCCTCAAGGGTTGGCTGTACCATGTTACCTTCTATCATGTTATGTCTGATAATGCTCAGTGACTCTTGCCATCAGGCCACCAAGCACACTGTTTTCACCATACCATGCTTTCTTCCCCCAATATAAGAAGTCCGGACTTTTGGCACTGAGGAAGACGTGGCTTATTCAGAGTCACATTTCTCAGCTTTTGATAAAAAATGCTACCAACACACAACACTAAATGACTCTTTTCTTCACACTGGCATTCACAGAGTCTAATTTGACATGACCTGAGATGACACGGAGTGCCATCATCTGAACTCTCGCTAACAGGAACAGAAAACCCATGAACCTCGCTGCTTCTCCATGATTTGCAGTGATACAGATATGAGAGCTAACTGTCTCTAAACCGGGAATGTGCCTGAGAAATTGAAATATGTGGGCCTTGAGTCTTCAGACTTTTGGATTTGGGGGTACTTAAATTAAGCTCTCTGAGAAATGCTAATTCAAATTCAACCAACATATAAAAGTGATTCATCTTTTCTCTCCATAATCTCTAGGTTAAAGGAATATTTTGTAGTCCTAGGTATTATCTGGAAGCCAAGCACAGCAGGGAGATGTCAACATTTAAAGATAAATATCACTTGTAGTGATGAAGAATGATTTCATCTCTAACTTCCTTTTCATGTTTCAAAAATAGACTGAAATAGAATGGATAGACTTCCTTAATACATTAAAAAAAATTATATGAATTTAAGACTAAAGTTTTAAAACAGTTTAAACCCTGCCTTTCATAGATTAGTTGCAGGGAAACCTCTGATTTCATAAATTCCATAACGTTCTAAAATATCGTTTTTGGGGAAAGGCCCTTGAAGAAGTAACCAATAGGCCTGCAAGCCCAGAACTTTTGTTTGTTTTTGTTGTTGTTTTATTTTTTGAGACGGAGTCTTGCTCTGTTGCTTAGGCTGAAGTACAGTGGCGCCATCTCAGCTCACTGCAGCCTCCGCCTCCTAGGTTCAAGCAATTCTCCTGCCTCAGCCTCCAGAATAGCTGGGACTACAGCTGGGTGAGCACTGCCACGCACAGCTAATTTTTGCATTTTTAGTAGAGACAGGGTTTCACCATGTTGGCCAGGATGGTCTTGATCTCCTGACCTCAGGATCCACCCACCTTAGCCTCCCAAAGTGCTGGGATTACAGGTGTGAACCATCACGCCCAGTCTGTTATTTTTTATTGTCAGTACTCCCCAGTCTTTATGTGGAAAGAGTCTATCAAAGTCATCTCTACCCATGGAACTACCACATAAGTATGGATTTGACATTATGTAAACCTTTTAGTAAATGGTCAAAGATTAGACTAAGATGACAATAAAACAAAAATAAATAAAATAAAATTCAGTGGACTTGCAAACAAACAGGTAATAGCTTACCTCTGATTTCATAAATCCCATAAAGTTCTAAAATATCATTTTGAAGGAAAGGCCCTTGCAAAAGTAAGCAAGAGGCCTGCAAGCCCAGAATGTGTTATTTTTTATTGGAAGTACTTCCCAGTTCAAGAGTGGAAAGACTGTATCAAAGTCATTTCCACACATGTAATTACCACATAAGCATGGATTTGACATTATGTAAACCTTTTAGTAAATGATCAAAGATTAGCCTGAGATGACAATAAAATAAAGTAAAACCCAGAGGACTTGCAAACAAATAGGAACAGGTAACAGCTTACTGATGGGCTAGAAATACTGGTCATCTTCCAGCTCAGGTGAAAATGGAGAAAGAGAATCTATGAATTCAATATTACTATTTAATATCTTTTTGTTTACTTTCTTCCATTCTTCCTTTTCCCTTTGCTATAACTTCCCCAATCCAACCCAATCTCCCCAAAGGAAAGCCAAAACATTCTGGAATAAAGGGCCATCTTGAAGGCAGTATCTGCTTTGAAAACCACCTGTGAAGACTGCCAGACGCAGCATCCAAGAGATTTATTTATTCATCCCTTCTTGGAATTTCATAAAAGAGATACTATAGGGTGGAAGGTAAGCAGTTGCCCCCCATGACATTCAGCAATGACATAGCCCTTGATTTGACTTAACTGAGGCTGGAAGGTAAGACAGGGTTAGCAGATAAGAACACGAGGCCAGCTCGACCACCGAATCAGAGTTTGGATAACTGGCAAATTGGAATTATAGAAGGGTCCTTATCAAGCATTGATGCCATCTCTCTAATGTTACAACTGAGGACACTGAGACCCCAAGTGGGTCTGAGCCCATGGCCAGAGCTGGAAACTCCATGTGCTGCACCTTCTGCATCAAAGTATCCCAGCTCTTTAAGAGTCTGTTGCCTGTCAGTCACTGGGACGAGGAGAGAAGCTCAGAAGAAATAAGTTCCATCAAACAAAGAGATGACTTCATCAACTAGGAGCACTCCTAGAACAGGTAACTGCTGCCCCTTATTCTGATTAGAGTAGATTTCCTGAGGTGAGACCGCAGGTGCTCACGGGGATTCTCTGACTGAGTGTCTCCTCTGCAGTAGCTTTGCCCTTCGGTTTTACCTTTCACTATGAGGAGAGTCTCGGTAGGAATCAGGGGTTTCTCTGGCATGCCTGAGGAAGCTGTTACATTCACGAGGGCCTCCTGTGCCATTAAGACGTCCTCTTGGGCCCCCAGTTGGGCTGCTGTGCCTACTGTTTTCTACGGATGACATCATGATTACAGAGTGGCTTTCGGAAAGGATGCTTTCAGTATGTCCGTTGCTCCAGCTGCGGAGGAAATGGGAGAGGCAATAAGATATTTCATTCAAAAATTATATGCAAAAAATGGAAATGAAAGGAATGGATTCTGACAAATATTTCAAACTACTGAGGCATCTGGAGCTCACTGCAACATCACTTGTCTCCGAACAGAATAGCCACAAAGATCATTTGCTATAGAGAGGACCTTGATTCAGATTGGCTTTGTAAGTATACAGTACATTCACTTGATCACTCATTCAATAAATATCTATCGAATGCCACTCCTTACTGTATAATTATAGTGTCTCTGTTCTTGAGTGGCTTAGATTAAAGAAACATTTCCTTGTATGAGCTACATTTGGAGATCTAGCATTGGTCTTGGTAGAGTAAGTGCACTGAGGTGGGGATTGCCAGGGCATTTGAGAATTTAGGGTTCCGCTATTTAACCAATTCTCATGCGCATTTCCCAGGGCAATCAATTATTGAAAGAAGTTGACTTCTAAGTATTATGCAGAGCCAAAAACAGACTTGTCCTAGTGTAGCAATTGGGTGAGTAGCAGGGCATGAGTAAAGACAATCTCAGGAACGGGAGACAATGGCCCTGTGGAGTTTCCTAATTGAGGTTTAAATTTATACAGGAATTAAGGGCAAAGCCAGTTGATTTTCAAAATCTGTTGCTGCCCAAAGGCCATCCATTTCACTGCATCCTTTCTTAGGCAGTGGTATCAAAAGGCAATGTGCAACAATTCATTCCGAGAGAAAAGCCATGGAATTTTTAAATTCTCATACCTGTGGCTAGGAGTCTGGGTGACAGTAGTGGAATGATGGGCTGTGGAAGTATAGTGACTGGTGGAAAAGGATGTCTCTGCTTCTCTCTCAACAATATGCTCACTGGAGATGACGTTTTTAGATACATATTGCTGGATAAACAAAGAGACACAACTTTAAGATTCATGTAGATTCATGTCAGTCAAGGTACTAATATTGTCATGTAAATAAAAACACTAACACTGTCACAAACACACAAATCTATTTTTGTACAGACGCTTTGTAATAAATTCCATTTCCTCAACAGCCAGATGGAAAATCCTCTCCTGGCTACTGTGGCTTTTAGATTAGATGAATAGAGTTAAACAAACAAATAAACAAATAAAAAAACCTCTCTGGATGTGCATCCAATGTACGGCCCATCATCCCAACTACATTTTATCAGCAAAAGTCCTATTTCCTCTATTTTATTTTACATTAATAACATGACTAGAATTCCATACAAATATCCATCCAATATTCATTTGTTTCATGGTTATCGCAAGTCGAAGAAGGCTAAATGCTATCTGAGTGAAATAGAAGCAGACAGGTGGTTTGTGTAATTTCAAATTTCAAAGCACTAGAAAAAAATATTTAAAACCTTTATATTTTGGGCCTACCTTTCTCCTTCCATTTCCTAGTGCCCATGTTGTCCTACTAATGTCATTGAAATGTTTAACTTGTTCTCAGTGGTAGGGCTAACAGGGCTACTGATAAATTGGAGGGACTTAACAATTGTCAATGCACACATCTTGACAAAGCACATAATATACGGAGGACATTTCTATTTAATGCAGGTGGATTCTACTTTCTTTTCTTTCTTTCTTCTTCTTCTTCTTTTTTTTTTTTTTTTTTTCTTTTTGTTGTGAGATGGAGTCTTGCTCTGTTGCCCAGGCTGGAGTGCAGTGGCGCAATCTCAGCTCACTGCAACCTCCACCTCCCGGGTTCCAGCGATTCTCCTGCCTCAGCCTCCCGAGTAGCTGGGATTACAGGCATGTGCCACCACGTCCAGCTAATTTTTAGCAGAGATGGGGTTTCACCATGTTGACCAGGCTGGTCTCAAACTCCTGACCTCAGGTGATCCGCCTACCTCCGCCTCCCAAAGTGCTGGGATTATAGGCGTGAGCCACCGCGCCTAGTCAGAGTTTATTTTCATCAGCAAACTACAGTAGTTTTTACTGTTTCTATTAGGGAGGGAGGCCCGTTTTGAAGTTGTGTTTTAATTGCTGTTGGTATTTATACTAAATTGAGTTAAGTAATAGGAAAACCAATAGGAAGGAATACTTTTTGATGAAATAAGGCACTTTATAATCTGATGGTCTGCGGGCTCTAAATATATTCATGGAGATCCAAAAATACACAGCTTGAATTATGCTTGAAACTCTAGCTGGTTCTCTTAGTGGAAAGGCTATTCCATGTGGATCTTCTAGGAAATACAGCTAGCTTGATTTAAGGAAAGGATACACAGTGACCTACTTCTAGTTCTTGCACCATTTCACTATTGCTTCTTGGGAGGCAACACAAGCTCAGTGAATCTAATGAAAATAATACTTAACAATTATTGAGCATTCACTAAATGCCACAAGGCTAAGTGTTTTATGCAAATTACCTTATTTAAGGCTCACAAGGAGTCTCTGAAGTAGGTATTATTTTTAGGTCTGTTTTTATATTAAAGAAATAAGGTTGAGAAAGGTTAAAGGCCAAAGATACACAATGTGAGCTGTAAATGTAATCCAGGCAGTCATTCTACCATTTATATAACATGCATAGTGACAGATTATAGTTCTTTTTGTAGTGAATATCATTATCACATGTGTAGAACATTGTGATGAACACTGTTAGGGTGTGAAAAAGCAACAGAGTTTGTTAACCTATGAGCACCTTGCTCCAACAAAGTCTCGAAGGTGTTTGCTACAAGACTTACTGATAGTTTAGTAACCAACTCTGTAGTTGGGTCTATGATACATCTGTTCCATTCAAAATATGCCTTTTTCTATAGGATAGAAAAGGTACTACAATAAAATCTTCAAGCTTTGTGTATTAAAAAAACCATACATCATAGCAATAATTTGAAAACAAGAAGGATGATGCTGGAATAGAAAGAGCAATACTCCAAAAGCCAGGAGATAGTGCAGCTCTGGCCCTTATCTGTAAATAAAAGAGATTTGAAAGATAATATCTTCAAACTCTCCAGAACCTAATATTCTATGATCTAGTTGTATTTTAAAAACTGAATGCTGAGTGTTCGGTACAGTATGAACAAAATATTTTAATGATGATGGATACATTTCATCTGGAGGGCTTGACATCATTTAGAAATGGCCAGGGAAGAAGCTGGCGTGACACTCTTCTCCTTTTGCTACTGAGAAGCGTGTTTGATAAGTCACTTGACCTTTCCACGCCCTAAAGGAAATCAGAATCCTTTGGAAATCATCATCAGTAAATCATCAGGCACTGTGAATTGCCCTGAGAAGATAACTCTAAAGCTCTTTGCTCGGTTATCTGTACTAATCAGTTACAGACTGGAGTAGCCTCATATATTCCAAGTTATATATGAAAAAAATTGCTTTTGATTATTGTACTATTAATTTTGTTTTCTCCCCACGCTCTCCACGCAAGCCCTAGCTATGGCCTCCTTGCAGAACAAACCCAACACTATTATTCCAACTCCTTAATGAACACTTTATAAGAGGAAATGTGCTGATTTTACAGTAACCAAATCCACTTTAAAAATGTTCCCATTATTTTCTCCTGGCAAAAACCTGGATTCCTGGAAGCCATGGTGATTAATGGCAGCAGCTAAAAGCTTAAGAGCTTTCGAAAATAAACTTCAAGGTGTCTGAACAGAGGAAAGAGGCTCAGTTTTTTCCACTGGCCAGAGTCAACGTACATTCACCAGCTGGACATTCTCGGGGGGTGGGTTAGGATGGTGAGGTCCATTGGCAATGTTCATCATATTGTTTCGTTCAGACCGAAGGCTCTGCCGAAGACGGTCATGAAGCTTTTTCCGCTGTTTCCTAGACATAAGAAAGGGAGCATTTATTTTTTTTCAATTATTTACATTTCATAGTAGAGCCAAATCTTTATTCTACCGACAGCTATGAGTAGCTCAAGGCAGTAGATTGTTGATGAGGAAGAGGGAAGGGAGTGTGTCCACTCTATCCCAGAATAAGTGAAACCACACATCCTTACCAAATAGATTTTAAAATCCACATGGGATTCTTTTGGTAATTTAGGTGTTTTACCGAGAGACAAGAAAAAAAGACGATAACACAAATAAATTGATAATTGACTAAAATCCCAACTTTCCTAATCAATCCATCTTTGCCTAAGTCTTACAAAGGACACTTATTTGTCTTAGATAATAATTTGTGCTGGGCTGGGCACAGTGGCTCATGCCTATAAGCCTAGCACTTTGGGAGGCAGAGGCAGGAGAATCGCTTGAATCCAAGAGTTTGAGACTAGCCTGGGCAACACAGAGAAGCCCTGTCTCTACAAAAAATACAAAAATTAGCTGGGCTGGTGGCGTGCACCTGTGGTCCCAGCTACCTGAGAGGCTGAGGCATGAGCATCACTTGAACCAGGAAAAAAAAAAATGTACATTTATAAGAGTGACTTCATTTATAGCTTTTCCTGGGGTCTCTGAAGAAAATGAACTGAGTTTTGAATATACACAGTTAGCATGTTTGTGAGTGTATCCTGTGTATACGAGTGAGAATGTGGACATATTTTGTCAATGGATTTTGGCACACTTGTAACATGTTCCTACTCTGGTAACACTTTTTGTGTAATTAGGCAGCGAATATTGAGATGGAATCTAATGAGACTCACCAGGTCGATTCCAGGAAGGCTTATCTCTATCACTTAATTCTGGCCACACACTAAATCATGGGATATTGAGAAAATACAATCCATGCTTTGGATTTTGTGGTATAAAAGCATATTATTTTTCTTCCTCAATGTAACATTCAGATTATGAAAATATTTCCATGGATGGTTTGGCAAGAGAGTATCATGCAGTAACATTTTTTCAAAAACCTTGTTAATTTAACATTATATTAGGCTTGAAATGTAAGTTATATGTAGGAGAGAAAAGTGAAGAGAATTCATGTCACATAGCAATCGAATTTGTTAACATGGACCAAACTTCAAGGCCAAACATAGGGAACCCAAATCTATTCTCATGTTTTCTCTTTTACGTTTTCAAAGAAAGTTTTGCTTGATTTTCCTCCCCTGAGATTCCGTTTTTACAACTCATGCTGTGAGAGCATTCATACTGGCAACCTAATTAGATAGAATATAAAAATAATCACTATAACTCAGAAAACTGCATTTCAGATACCACAGAAGATTTCCTTTATCTTATAAATTTTAGTGTAAATTGGACTTGTTCTCAATAGTCCTTTGAACTGAAGGTACTACTGCACCCTGAATGCAGTCAGTCTCTAACCCATAGAAGTTTTTCTAGGTGCATATTAGTTTCTTTTGGGGATAACCTGACTATACTAAAGTCCTCAAATGGACTTTTGTTACCTTCCCTCTCATTTTAGAATGAGGTGCCTTCACTCCATCCCACCCATACACGTAACTTCCATACAAGCCTGTCCCTCCAGCCCTTTATCCACTCAGGGGCTGTGGTCATTGGACAGAAATCTTTACAGCACTTTCACATGAATAGAACATTCTGTGTTTAGGAGACATCCTCTAAATGGATTATTCAGAGGAAATAATCCCCCCGCCCCTCCTTTTTTTTTTTTTTTATCCCCAAGACTAGGCTGTGGAGCTCAGATTCTGCAAAGCCCTGGCCATCTAAGCTGTCTCTGCATGAGGGAGAGAGAAAGGCATGGAGGAGGAAGGTTTACTTGGTTTTGCAGTAGGCCACCACACACATGATGCCAACCACAAGGAGGGCGATGCAGATGCCAGTTATGGTCAGCACTCTCTTCTGGTACAGCTCCTCCGCCTCTGGAAAGGGATGAGAGCAGATGTCATCACAGGTCACTTCCACTTGCCAGGACTGACTACAACCAAACAGTGGGCATGCTGCATGACATTGTCCATGTTCACAAGAAAATAAATACATGACGATTCTTTATGTTTACACACATAGCTAATGTACAACATGCTCTGCACTATGCTTGGAACATAAATAACAAAGCCAGCTGGGGCCATTTACAATACGAATATTATACTCAAAAATTACTTATAATTATAAGCTATAAATATATATATAGTTGATAGTAAATTGGAAATCATAAACATTAATTATAAAATAACTATTTGGTTAAAACTCTGTAGTTTTTTGTGTGAAGTCTCTTGCAAAATAAAATATAAAAAGCTCTTGCAAAGACAACAGGAATCAACATCAATGAAAAGAGCTGGGATTGGCAATTACTGGGGTCCCCCTTCCTCCTTCCTCCCTTCTTTATTCCCCAGCTCCTGGCCTTTTTGTATTTCCCAGCTATTTTGTATCATCACTTAATATCCAGTGGTCTTTACAAAGAGTCATTTCTAACTTAAATATATTAAATTCAAAGACATTTGCAAACATGAACTTGGCTTGTAGTTACCTAGTAAATTGAGTCAGGCTCTCTGTGATTTAACAGTAAAATGTGAACACAAGAAGCAATACAATATGAGGTATCAGGGCACTGTATCAAAGAAAATCCCATGTGATGGGTAGGACAGTTATGGGCCCAAGTGGAGACTTGTCCTTTGGAAGACAATTCTAATTACTCCACCAATTGGACTTAGGAACAAGTTTATTTGTCCAAAGAGGTCACCAGTACAAATGATGTGTGATTTGGAACAGAGTTCACATTCATACATTGGCCAACTTGGCAAATGAGCTAATGTAGGTTATGCTAAGGAAGTGTGATGCTTAGAACTTTGAACTAAAGATACTACTGTACCCCAAATGCAATCAGTCTCTAATTCATAGAAGTTTTTCTATTTTCGAATTAGTTTCTTTGGGGGATAAGTTGATTAGACTAAGGTAGGTCAGGTTCTTAACAAGATTTGCTGATTTAATAGGGACCCTGATCCCTTAGGACCTGAGCTTCCAGTGAGTCTAATTACATCTATTGGAAGATCTTCACAAGTTCACTCAGAAAGAGAACTCGACAGCAGTGTAAGCTGTTCACTTGCCATTATAATCAATAAGTTGGTCAAGAACTGGGGAATACTGTATAAACAGAGCTGACTTATCTGGACATCAACAAGGGACCCGCAAAGCATATTTCCATATTACATCTGCAGTGGCACAACTACACCTTTAACTACACCTTTTTCTCTTTTGAGAGAGGGCAGCTTGCAAGAAGTTTTCTTTAAATGAAAAAGTGAATTTTAATTTCTAGGATACAGTGGACCTTATCATGAAACAAAACATTTCCTACAAGCCGAGCCCATGATAATCAAATTCCAGTGAACAGGTCAAGAACATTGTCAAATCAAATTAATATAGCACTGATTATTAACAGGAGGAGAAGGAGAAGAGAAGTCAGTGGGTAAAGGACTAGAATGCTGCATAGATTATACAAAAACAAATCAAAAGGGTTGGAGGTGGAAAGGAAAAACAAACCAAGAGGACAGACAGACTGACAGAATGACAGAGAGACCAAGGAAGGGAAAACAAGGTTAAAAGTTAAGGAGCCATCTGAAGTCCCTGGCACAGCATGCCTGATACTAAGGGAGGAAAAATAAATAAAGAAAAGAAAACCAGAGGGAGGAAATGCTTGGGTGGGAAGAAAAGGTAGATGCAAAGTTGGAAGGGTCATTCCATACAGCATAACTCCTAATCTAAGCTAGCAGTCATGTGGAAGCCACAATTAGAAAGCGAAGCGGCTGGTGCATTGCGGTGAAACAATGTACTGGGAAATATTGCATTGGTGTTACAGACTTTTTTGTGTGTGCAGCAAAAGTCAGATGAGGACAAGGAATGTGAGCGCTTATATGTTAATTGCGTGTGTCTGCTGCCTCCCCTCTCCCATAGTCACAGGACAGGGAATTAATTTCTATGGGGTATCTGGTTGATGCTGCTGCTGTAGCCTCCCTTCCTGATCTTGGTATCTTGATCAGGTTTTAGGATACATGTCTAAGAAGCAGAGCTGTCACCCCACTGGTCCTTCTCCCTGGGACCCAGGACCAGAGCACAGCTCCTTGGGCTGTGAGGTGTTGGTGAAGAAGTAGGAGTATAGGTATTACTGCCAAGAGATGAACGCCCTGTATGACTGTCCTCTTTTCCTTACTCTACTGTTTTCTTCTTTGGAGATGGGCAAGCCTGTGGTCGTTCTTTTCTACTGGTATCTTAACATCCTATCTTTAGAAAGAAGCTCGGAAACTGCTTCTGCAAACTTCAAAAACGGGGACATGGACAAGGGCTAAATGGGAAAAAGGCATCATGCTTACTCTCAGGGATTCTTGGGACGAGTTGTCTTTTGGTTGTTAATTACAGAAGAATAGATTGAGCTGCGCTTGGAAACATATGGTGCATGATGACGGGCACATTCTTTCTATGCTGTGTAGGCAGACACATATTTTCCAGTAAAATGATCATTTCATGGAAATAAAGAGGTAGCTCAGTAAAGGCCAAAGGGTAATGTAACAGCACTAAAATGAACTGATTCAAGCCAAGGCCCATAGAATACAGACGTGGGATTAAAATCCTGTATTCACATCAGCATTGACCAGATGCATTACAACTCTCATCCACATTGCTATTTGAATTTTTCACGGTTTGGCTCAATCAGGTGATTCCACACTATGCATGTGATCAAGGAAAAATACTTGGTGAAAAATAATATAAACAATGGATTCTTTAACCTGTTTTTCCCCATATTAATTTTTTTCTTATGTGTCAGATCAACTGGGGAAGAGCAAATTAGAGACAGACAGGGCTGAAAACAAGAGTCCGTCATTCCGATCGGTGGGTCTGTCTCTCAGTGAGCAGAAATGCCCCAGAGTCTTCATGGTTTGGCTGGACTAACATGTTTCCAGATCAAGCACATTTTTCAGTCTGATCTGGCCTGGCCAAGAAACAGAGCCCTTACCTTTCTGAGTTGTACTTGACCTTTAAGGTCTGATTTTCCTGAAGGATGCAATGTTCTGGTTTAGTACACCAGCCAGCCTGGAACTATGAGCCTCTGGAAACTGTACCTTTGAGAACCACGCGGAGAGCAGCACCCTGTGTCTTTCCTAACCCATAGAGGATCTTACTGAGGGGGAAGTTATGTATCTGAACTATCCTTCGCTTTACTGTTGGGGACAGAAACAATACCTTCTATAGTCAGACCCTCCAGCTATAAAATGAGGAATATGCTGTTAAGGATAGAAGGATATGGGGTAATGGTAGAATTTTTTCCCTCCCTGCAGGATAGGCCAATAATCCTGCAGAAGTGGGACAATTTTTTTCCCCCGAGGGAAGAAACTCCAACAGATAGCTCCCCTCAGTACACAACGTGCTCCCTAGTAATAGAGGTGCTCCCCCTTGTGTTTCTCCCTCTTGGGAGATGTTCTGCAATGCACAAAGGCCCATTCACATGCACCTGGGGGCTTCTCATCAAATTGATAGTTTACTCCTGAATTTTTTTTTTTTTTTTTTGGAAGAAATGGGCAACCCATTGAGCAATCCCTGTAGCTGCTAGAGCTTGCAACTGCCTCATTTCCCACAAAGTCTGGAAACTACATTATGTGCAGCCTGTGATGTTATCATCCAAAAGAAGGCAGTGGCTGTAGCATGCCCCTGCTGCATGATGTCCCTGAAGCCAGCTGGATGGGGACCAGATATTCTGTGAATCAGGACATTGTGTCACTGATCCAACCATCGTCCAGGACTGTAGGCGGCATTGAGAAAGACAGACTGGCCTGGCCCGGTGGAGTCTCTGGGAAGGTAGCACAGCTCCTTGCTCCCCAGAGACTGGTCTTCAATCCCAACTATGTAGGATGAAGGCTTTCCAAAAAAGTGTGTCCACATTTTGTATACTCATATATTTTTCTTTTCCTTTTACAGTGTGAAATTTTCTATTCGATTACTTGTCTGGATAATCTTCATGACTCAAATTTAATTCCATTACCACTGGAATCTCCACCTAAAATAGCACAAGGCTGCTTTCTTTCTGTTTTCTATTTCCTTCTTATAAGATAATGAAGTTGACTAGGGTGGTGCCTGAGTATCTCCAGATAATCTGAGTAATTCAAGTCTGTGCATTTAATATTGTGTTGTAATGTAAGGGCTTTCTATATACATTACATTGTCTATATTAAATAGATTATTTTTACATTGTATGCCCAAAATCCTACCAGGCTAAGATGCTGTGTGTTTTTTAAGCAGATGGATTTAAAAAGTCTTTTGTTCTCAGGACTCTGAGTGGATTTCCCCTGTATCCTTTATGTGCTACTACTACTTACCCCAGCTTTTCTATAACAGCAGAGCCAGATCCAATCAGTGGGTTAAGCAGCGTGGGATATATGTGAATTTGCAGCAGGTGGGGTAATTTTAAATTCTAAGTGAAGGATGCTTGGGAATCTAAAACCTGCTGCACTCAGTCACATTTCAGTAAACTAATCATAGATTGAACGCAGAGAAATCATTGTTATAGCTGTATGATCCCTTCTAAAGAAAAAGGAAATTAGTTAGGAACTGAAAGGTAAGAGTAGGAAGGGAAAAAGATTTCAGCTCATAGGCTCTAAATTCTGCAGGCTAAAAGGAATGATGATTGGTCCATACCCATAAATTCAATCCCAAGATGCTCTGCCAATGCAGAAAGTTGACAAAAAAAAGAAAGAAAGGGAAAAAGTTTCAGAAAAGAGCAATACACTGCACTCCAAAACACATTACACATGACTATTATGGCTCTCTGTGCGTGCACATTGAACCAGACAAATGGTGCGTGGTTAAGAAGCAGTGCTCAGGTACGCCTCTGTGAGTCCACATAGGGAACATCTCTTTTTATGAGGTGTGCAAAATAGCAGCACATTGTGTCTTTATTAACCCTTAAAAGATCTTACTGAGGGAGAATTTCTGTCGTTGAACTATCCCTTACACTATTTCCTTGTGTGGGAATGAAGGATTATTTTTATAATCGGAAAAGGCATTTGATACTATTTCATTCCTTTTTTTAAAAGGCAGAAGCAAAGTTCCAAGGAGGTGAATTTTATTTAATTAAAATAAGTAAAATTAATTAATTAATTTTTTACCCAAAGACACCCATGGGCAGAGGCAGGAGCAGAAGGCAGGAGGATGGTAATTTGGTCTGAAAATGTTATCAGGTTGGACTTGGATTTTTCATTGTTTGTGGGTAGTTGGCCTCGAATGCTTCTTGCTCATTGGTTGTGTATTTATTTTCTTAGCTGTATCTCTTTTACTTCTTCTAATCTTCCACTTTTCTCATCACTTGTCTGTTTCATTCACAGAAAGCAACAAATGCTTCTGCCCCAAAACCCCAAACAGGGGCTTGGGACACTGGAGACTCCCTCCAGTTTTTCTCATATAAGTTCTGTGTGGTTAGGACAATTCTACGCCTCACTTTTTTCAAACTGTAAAGAAAAAATAAGTGAGAAAATCCAATTCCTAGGGTTTTTCATCTTAACTTATTACTCCTTTAAATAACAGAGAATCAGCGAAATCACTTCTCCAGAATGCTGGACTCCCATTCTCACAGCCACTCGGAGGACCTGCAGGGCTGCCCAGGGAAGTAGACGCACAGGTATGAGCCAACAGCCAGCAATCCTGGCAGCTGGGACTCTGGAGACTCCAGGATTGCAAGAACAGCAGAACTTGCAGAGGCTCCAATGAGGAAGTGGGAGAAAACAAGTCCAAAAAAAAAAAAAAAAAAATCTCCGGGGATGACACTTTTCATTTTTTCATTCTCAAAACAAAAACTGATAATCAAATTTCATGATGTGGAAGGCTCTAGGACTTCCTTTCTCTCTCTCTCTCTCTCTCTCTCTCTCTCTCTCTCTGTGTGTGTGCTCTCTCTCTCTGTGTGTGTGTGTGTGTGTGCGCGCGCGCGTGTGTGCATGTGCATGTGTGTGTGGTCAAGAAGCAGGTGGGAAGGAGAGACAGCATATCAACTGAGATCTACATTTTCTTCCTTTGATCACTGCCTCAAGAGATACAAGGGCTATTCAATGATATGGCAAGGTATCTCTTAAGTTTGAAAAAAATGCCGTGGAGGGGTGTTTCTCTTACAAAAACTTGTGTTTGGGTACCTCATACAGAGAGGGAAAAAGCTGAGTGTACTGGAATCATCTTGGTTTCGGGTCCTGCTTCTGCCGTGGACCTGTTTAGTGACTTTGGACATGTTAGTTTTTCATTAACAAAATATTTTTTATACAAACACATGCCTCACTGGGCGTCCTTGGAGAGTAAAGGAGATGTGAAATATGTGGCTAACAGCAGAAGGGCTTAACAGCTTGTGTAGCAGACACATCAAGAGATGTACCCTGGGCCACTTGCTGTATTCTCGTTTACTTTTGGCTACTTTCATGGCCAGAAAAACTTTTTAAGCTCTGGGGATACTTGAAAACTTAAAAACTTGCTGCCCTTTAAGGAAATGAAGCTTCCCAGACTTTTTAAAAGTATGTATATATATATACACACACACACACACACACACATATCAAAAAGTACACTGCATAACAAGGATCATGGGAAGTACTATACATAATAGTTTCCTCTGCCTTGGGTCCAGTGTACACAAGAAAATAAGCTATCTTTTTCATAAATTAAAAAGCTAGGGGATTTAGTTATGATTAACTTGGTTGCACAATATTCACAGCAAAAATAATTTATTCAAATCCAGATAAATTTCTCTTGCCTCCGTACAACACTCAATTGGTCAAAAATTGGCCATTTTTTTCCTATTTGCTTTCTTCATACAAACTTTGGAACATCAACATGAAAACATTCATTTTCCAGGGAAGTCAATAATAAATTTCCTTACTCATTTCCATGAAGGTGGGACCCAGCTTTTCTTTCTAGAACCCCTTCCCTCTCTTTCCTTTTTCTCCTACCAGTCAGTAATAATTTAAGGGTTAAAATCAAGCGATGTCTACAGGAACTCTCTCCAGAGAGTCAGGATTCCATGCCTACGTGAACACTGCTCATGATCTGTATTAGTTGCATAGAAAGCTTGGTTAAGTCTTCAATAAAATTAGTAGCATGCCCATGCATACATATTACTGCATTTACAGTTTTATAGGTAAGTCTGTCAGCCTAACTATAATTTCATTTCGCGGGAAGTCATTCATATCAGGCAGCTCCAATTTCAAATAATTCAATGGGAAATTGGTACTTAAAACTGGAATCTCTTCTGGCCATAAGCCCTAACAAGGAAACAAGCAGAGGGAACATGCATCAGTCATACTAGACCCAGAGCAAATACTGCTCTAATTTATTTTTACTATTGGTAGCTACATTTCTTTCACTGTGAGTCAAAAAAAGCAGAATACACGAGCACTTTTCATTTTATGAAAAGGTTATTACTTTCTATCTGTTCTACTTAATCTAATGTTGGCCTGGGCTCATTAAGAATCACATGCTTCCTATTGAACTTCTGCCTAGCCACTACATTTTTCAAATTAAATTAATAATTCAGAAACACAAAGTTTACTGTAAACAATCTAGTTTCTTTTTCTACATGTGATTTCCGGCTGTGCTCTGAGCAATATAAAAAATTAATCTAAATCCAAAAGTCTTCAGAAACTATTAAATATTGACTCACGAATTCTTTGTCTTAGGATTTTATAATTGCTTGAGGAAAACTGATTAACCTGTAGGTTAATTTAGATTTTCAATCGCATTAAAGAAAAGAACAATAGAACAACTTTCTTTAACAAAAAATATATACCCATGCAATTATGGTTTCTGTTAACATTTGAAGACATTTAGGATTTTTCTCTTTAACATCTTGGGTCTGTTTAGGCTAATCATCTCAAAGACTTAAAATCTTAAAGTCTTGACTTTCTGTACCGATGAGATTTCGAAAGGAGTTCTGTCAATGCCAATTCTGAACAGGACCAATTTAGTGTCTGTCTTTTAATTTTAGACTTACCTTTATACAATGGAGATACTTTTTGTTTTTTTTCACATATGCCAATCCGTAGTGTCACTGGGCCCTTTGAAATGTTAACAGGAGACTTTCTCCTTAGTTCCAAATTCCATGTGCACATAAGCACACTCATAAACACACACACAGTAAAATCTCACTAACACTTGGCTGCAATTTATGGCAATTTTGTCACAGGTGAAGTGTTCCTCTATTCTACTGTTAGCAAGATGCATGTTCGATAAACAAGAATAATTTCAACAGGTTGCATTTAGAAATCCATGCAAATGATGGATGCACTAGTAACCTGTGATTCAAAACTACTTTGAAGGATATCTGCTAAATTGTTCAGTGTGAGAATGTTCCTAAAAGTTCTAAAATTACAATCTTTTAAAATATTCTAAATTTGAGCTAGTCTATAATTAGGTCCTATTGTATGTTAGTTTCTATATGACATACTTGCTCTGTACTGCCCCTAACTATTGAAAGTGTGAGTGCTTTTCCTTTTTTCCGCCCTAAAATCTATACATTATGGAGTGCCTGTATACACATGCATATGTGTGGACACACACACGAACACACACACCCCACACCACATATTGATGAACACAATTTTTTTCAACTAGGAATTCTGTGTCAGGTTAGGTCAAATTTGAAGCTGACTAACCTTGACAATATTTTCCTAGAAAGTACTATAAATATAATGTTGTATTTCAAGGCAAATGGCTGCCTTATAAAATATACATTTGTCCCTCTCTTTCACATTTTAAGTCAGTTTTTATAAATCAGTAAATGGTCCATGAACATTCTGACTAGAATCACTGTATCAAATCTGAATAATGTAAGTTTCATATTAATAAACTTAAAAAATTATCTATTCTTTAGAATGTTAGTTTTCAACTGAAAATGCAGTGTGGTAAGTTTTGAATGTTTCTCTTTGAAGCTAGGGACTATCTTTTCCCATTTTGTGTTCAAAATTTATGTTTTCCAGACTTTAAGACTACAAACAATTAAATTTTAAAACAGTCACTATGGTGACATTCTCTATCTTTATTCTGGCTTTCATTGCTACTTGAACATAAAGTTCTTAGAGCAGCACAAATTTATTTTTCTGCCTTCTATGTAGGGGTTTGCAGAGATAAAAACTGAAAATTTAAGACATAGAGGTTAGAACATTAACTCAGTAAGACAACACTGGAAAGCAATTTCTGATTGGAAGCTCTTGCTTTTCCAGACATGAGGCATCTCTGCTGCACAGCCATTACATATATTGTTTATAAATGTGCAATCAATCTTTGTTAAATCAGGTTAAATATGAATGCTGCTTTCCTGGATGTCATCCAAAAGTGGCATTGAAAGCGTACTAAAGAATTTATTTAAAGAATCACACTCTGAACTTCACAAATACATAGTGGCTATTTTAAAATGATATCTTCTGAAAAAGCAAATGGTCTAAAAGAGAAGTTGAAAATATTTTCTCTGGTTACCACTGTCAGGTCTAACTACATAATTATACTGTCAAATAGCTTCATTTTTTAATGCTTTTGTTTATATAGTGCCTGAACATTGCCTTCAAGGCACAGTAAAACTCTAACACCAAAAATGTAAATGTAACTTAAGTGATGAGAATTGTCATTAAAATCTAAAGTATGATTTTACTGTATTTATCCAGCCACATAGATTTGCCGAATCTATGTTATTTAAATACAAATACACATTTCTCAGAGAAATGCTTTAAGGTATTAATTAACATTCTATTTTTCCCTTTTATTTTTATTTTCTATCCTATCTATCTTTAAAAAATTAACTTAAAAATTAAATCAAGCTATTTGCTTTAGCTGTGGATAGAAAAATTCTCCCTACTAAATACATATTATTTAAATGTTTGTCAATAAAGTGAAGACTGTTTGGAAATTTTACAATGCCAATTTACAAACTTTTCACAACAGAAAATGCCCTAGGAAGTTGTCTTTGATATGTAGCCTATGTAAATACATAAATACTACCTCCCTAAATAAATGATTGCACATTACGGGTCTAATCTTACCATAAAACATTATAGAATTTATTCTGGAAACTTCTATGACTGTTAACAGGAATTACAGAAACTTATTCTCTGCATGCATCAGAACAAGGGTCAATTGGATTCTTTTAGGACGCCTAAATAACCAGCTTATATCACTGTTTCTTATGTTAGATGAATTTAAACTGCAGTAAGCTATGTGACATATTTTTCAGGATGAGCAGTTGACAATCTAAATCAGTGGTTGACAAATCCAGCCCAGTGTTTGCTTCTGTAAATGAAGATTTAATGGAAAACACCCATGCACATCAGTTTTATGCATTGTTTACTGCTGTTTTCATGCTACAATAGTAGGTTTGAGTTGTTGTGACAGTGATGGTGCCACCACAAATCCTAAAATATTTGCTCTCTGAACCTTCACAGAAAAAAGATTGCCATTCTTTCATCTACATGGATAACTACATGATATGCATTTTAAATGCACTGTTTTGAAAGCTCCAGGATCAGAAGTTATAAACCCAGTTCACAATAGGACAAACACACGGTTTGGTTTATATAATTATGTACAAGTGAATTGGGTCTTTTAGGAATGATGTTCAAAACTTCATAAAGCCACAAACATCTATCCAAATTTCCCAGTTTTGCCTTAAGTTACATATATATATATACACACACACACACATATTTATCCTATAGTTGAGTTATTATATCTCAAAATAATAAATATTAAAGCAAATAACAGTAACTATTTTATTCTAAATTACTTTTGAAACTAACATAAAGAAATGCTAATATAAGTAAATAATTGTTTAAACTAGTGCTTGAATTACTTGTTCCCTAAGCAACGTAAACAGAAGCCAGGATATCTCATTTGCTGTGAAATGTTTGTTTTTAATTTTCCTACTTGATGCTTTTTTAAAAAAATGCCTCAATGCAAACTGTTTGGTTAATGAAGAAAAACATCTGAACTCCTTTTATTATGTTTATTTGTGACAAATAACACATTCTGAATCAAAATTAACTTACCATCATTTCAAATGTATATTGGTTACAGCTTAGCAACACCCTTTTCAGGATGTGGTCATTGTATAAAGAAGATGGGACTGTTCAGTAGAATGATTTTTATTTTATCAATAAAAGTGAGACTTTGAAATGCCTTTATTATCATTTCACTGCTTGATATTGACTATCAATTTGTATCACATCATTCAATATCAATTCCAGAAACATCCGGAGCCTCACACACCTATTAGTATCTCAGAGCCAACTAGTCGCGAACAGAGGAAGTAATACAATTGCTTTTGTTAATGTTCTCATGCGACAGGCAGAGGCAGTCAATATTAGACCTGGTAAGACACATCTAGCTCTAGGTGGAATCTGAGGGGAGATGCAGCAACAAGAAAGCAGCACCAACTGAGCATGCTCCTATTCAGGCAGAGACAGAAAGGGAGTGGACGTACTGTAGAAGCTGGCCATTACGTAGTTTTGGCAGCGATCACCAGTAAACTCATTTGGGCACCTGAGAGAAGAAACAAAAAAACAATGGTAGAAAAAACAGAGAAAAAGAGAAGAGGTGAATATATGCTAGAAAGAAGCTCCTTCAGTGTCATTTGACTGAAACTTGGTGGGTTCACCCTCAGGAACTGAATCTTTGCCCTGATTATGGCTTTCAGGCTCTGGCACTTCCCCCAAATGGTTAAAAATTTGGACAGAATGCAGTTCTTAAGTTGGTATGATGGAAAGATCCCAGCATTTTAAGTGGTTGCCTTCTTTCAAAGGGAACTCCTTAAAATGAAATCTGACGGTTTATTCATCTCAGTTTTCCATTTGATGGCTTTGGTCACACACGTTGGAAGAAAATGTTTCTTGGTTGGCTTGCCTGCAATGGTTTGTCAGCATCACGGGCCATCGTGACTGGCCATTCTTGTAAATTGATGACTTAGGGACCCACTTTGAGAGACAGTTAATAAGGTAATATTGAATGGGTTTATGCCTTGAGAGGTTAAGCCATAATTAGAACAAAATGAATCAGTTGCAACTGAGCTGTAAAAGCACCAAGTGGTAGTGATTGTTGCTGTAGTTGGGGGAGAAAGCAAATTTCAGATTATTTTAACATACTTTCTTGGTTTTGGACTTTCATGGGCACATTCTCAGTACATCTTGCTCCAGTGAATCCAGGTTGGCACCTAGAGGGCAAAAATGTGGTAAACAAAAAAAATGCTAAAGACACTGAGCTTTCAGACTGGCAATTTTCCTCCTACGGAATATGGAGATTCCTAAAAATGATCTGGTACCAAGCAATATAAAGAAAAGAAAAGACACAACATTTAGAAAACCATGTCCCACGAAAACTGTGGGTTACAGATTTTTGTTGTTGTTTGCTTCAGTCTTCAAATGATTGGTTAACTGAAATTTAACCAGAGTGAAGTTGAAATGTGGAATAAGAGGCAGCAAGGCCCAGAGAGCTGTCAATTTTCCTTTGGCATGACCCTGTTTGCCACTGAACATTGATTCTCACTATGTTAAAACACTGGTTTTCATAAGTGCTAACCATGATTCCATCCCTGTCTCTTATCAATAAATTATCTTGAGCTTTTTCTTTTATATACTTATATCAATTTTAATTCATTTCATGGGTGTTTTATGTTACAAGTTAAGTCATTAAACAATAGAAGTCAAGTACTTTCACATTATAATGATTTTTTGACAAGAAAAACTACATTCCCTCTTTTTTAAAAAGATATTACAAATAAACTCTTGTTTTTAATGTTCAAAGATACTAGAAACAGATTTTTATCAAGACAAATTTCACTTAATTGTATTATCCCAAATCAAAGATAAATACATTTAAAAATTTATATCAGTTATTCTTATGCAGAAGTACTTAATACATGTCATTTTGCATTTAAGGTAAAACTGTTTTTAAAACTGTATAAAATTTACATGTTATTCACTCATAAATATTTACCTATCAGCATTCTAGAATCTCAATACAATATTGTTCTTAAGGTCATGCAATGGGGCTGTGCTTAAATATGGAAGTTCTTTATAATTGCCATTTTTTTTTTTTGTTGCTGTTACTCTAATAACTAAAGCATTTTAAATAGGATTGATTTTACCAGTATCATTCTCGAATAAAAAGGGCCACTGAAAGGTTCTAGGAAGCAATATACTTACAGATAGAAAGTCCTTCATTTTGAATCCTCAACATTCATCATCATAATTATTATTAATAGTTCATCTATACAGCAACTATCATGCAAAGAGCCTAAGTTAGCTCTGGTAGCTCATATCTAGTGATTTTTACACAACCCTTTTCTCTACAGAGTAAATAAGAATACATACTATATTTCTGGCATGAAAGAGATATGAACAAAACTGTACTTTGTTACCAATATAGGGGTACTGTGGTTTCCCTTCAAGCCAAATCACCAAATGACTTGGTATATGTGATTCTCCTACTTTATGAAAATGGCCTGCAAGATAAAATACTAGCAGTTCCAGAATTTTTGCCTTGTGAATATGTATTTAAGCTTAAACAACAAACATCTTATATTGACATAGCTCTTTTAAACTCTTGGAAACACCTTCATATAAATAAACTGATGATTTTTGTTTAGAATATTTTCGCTGCAGGGAGTAGAGGAAGAGCTACCTAGAGAAATGTATCAATAAGAAGTATAAGCTTGGCCGGGTGCGGTGGCTCACGCCTGTAATTTTAGCACTTTGGGAGGCTGAGGTGGGCAGATCATAAGGTCAGGAGTTTGAGACCAGCCTGGCCAACATGGCGAAACCCTGTCTCTACTAAAAATACAAAAAATAGCCAGGTGTGGTGGTGGGTGCTTGTAATCCCAGCTACTCAGGAGGCTGAGGCAGGAGAATCACTTGAACCCGGGAGGCAGAGTTTGCAGTGAGCTGAGATTGTGCCATTGCACTCCAGCCTGGGCAACAAGAGCAAGACCCTGTCTCAAAGAAAAAAAAAAAAAAGAGGTTGGGTCATTTCTCAAAAAGACGCCCTTTCTTCACATGCTTATTGAATGTATATAATAAAAAATACATGGGAACGTTTTTTCATATAACTTATTTCACAAATTCATTTCCGAAGTAAATGGGGTTTTTATTTGTTTCTCAACCAGGACTATAAGTTCATATAGACAAATGCTGTAATTAAAGCAGGTGTTCCTAGAATTAATGATGTATTCAATAATTATCATTTCATCCTGTTTCTTTGCATTCTTGATAAAAGTTAACATTCTCATATTGAGCACACGGTAATTCACTTGTTTCTAACAAAAGAACATGGTGTAAGATATGTGAACATGCTGTGTATGTGTGTGTATGTGTAAGAGAGAAACACACACACACCACACAGTTGCTCAGGGCAGGAAATGCCCTTATGTAAGAAAGAATCATGAAATTAACAAATAGCTGAGGAATCACGAGTTCCTTAAGAGAAGGAAGGCATTTATAAGGAAATTGTCATTAGGCATCTTATAATTAGTTCTATGATCAGAGGGCACAGGACAACTAGGTAAAGTGAGTCAGAAATCCTACCCAATCAACTTTCTAATTATTATGAATTTCTAACATGATGTTTCCCAGGAAGCTAGCATGAGATGATGGCTTATCTCTATCATAAAATCATATGGAAAACTGGGTATAGTAACACTAGAACTACTTGAGGTATGCAAGTCATTTTTTGGAATTACCAGCTATTTCTCAACCAGAACTATCCTTTTGCTAGTATTTATCTTCATTTGGGAGATGAATTTTCTCATCATTGTTTCTTAGTGTTATAAAACCCTGTTATTACTCAGAACTGACAGCATCAGCATCTCCTAGGAGCGTGCTAGTGTAAACGCAGGCCATAGCCCAGAACTACTGAATAAGAATCTTCATTTTAACAAAATCCCTAAGAGATGTGGATGTAGATTAAAGTTCAAGATGTAAGGTACCCCGAACTGGGAAAAGGGAAGCAAAGGCCGTCTTTCGGCACTGTGGTATCTTGCTGTTTGGCCATGGACAAGCTATTTGGCTTTACCAGGCCTCATTGTAATTAAGTGATTATCAAAGACCTCTTTTTCCACTAAGGTTCTGGCAAATGATACTTATCCTAACACATGGAATCACTGCTAGAAAACCCCAACATCATTTCTTCCGAATGCATTACCAGTCAGGGAAGATAGAACTCAAGGACTTCTAAAAATCCTTTTTGATAAAATGGATTTTAAAGACAACTGTTGAGGTAAAACAAATTGCAAGTGCCTAAGCAACTCAAATGAGATGGAAGGGAAAAGCAGAAACTGAGATAGTTTCTGCATAAGCAAACTGCACACTGCATTGATTGTGTAGAGAAAGCACATGCAAATGAAAACCCAGTTGATCTATAAGCTCTGTGAAATTCTATGGAATTACTTCTAACAGACTAGGAAGACTGGCTTCTGATACATTTCTATTATCAACATTGTATGTCAAACATTCAATCCATCACTTTCCTGGAAGATAAGAACAATAGTAAATCAAAGCTGATTTTGAACAATAAGCTTTGGCATGAGTTTGAGCAAATTCCAAGAATTTTATGTCTGGGAATAATCTAAGGATCTGAATAACAAGTACTTGTTGTAGCTTTAAATATATATCCGTGTGTGTGTGTGTGTGTGTGTGTGTGTGTATGTATATACCATTTGTTTCATTAATCAGTAATATTAGAAGATGGAAATCAGGGTTTTAAAAAATTTTAGTATTTGCTCTTAATATGATGTTTGTTCTATATTTGTTATTAATGGGGTGAAAATTCACAGTTTTTTTTCTGAACTTAGGCATTACTCTTTCCCTGCCCTTCACCTCCCTATTACCCACTTCTATGCTCTGGGGAGAATTCTCTCCTTGCCTCTTGCATTGCACCCTATCCTGACCTCGTTCACTGCACTTATCTGTATTGTGATGATCTGTGACACAGATCACATTCTGTCAGTGATCACATTCTGATCATTTTGTATCTCTAATGCCTAGCACAGTGCCTGGCTCATAATGGGCTCTCACAAAATGTCTGTGAAAATGAACTTAAGATCAGACCACAGTGTCCATATCTGATCAACAATTTTATCAAATGAAACTTTCAGACAGGGTGTGGTGGCTAACACCTGTAATCCCAGCACTTTGGGAAGCCAAGGTGGGCTGATCATTTGAGGTGAGGAGTTCGGGGCCAGCCTGGCCAACATGGTGACTGTCTCTATCAAAAATACAAAAATTAGCTGAGCATGGTGGCGGGCACCTGTAATCCCAGCTACTTGGGAAGCTGAGGCAGGAGAATTGCTTGAACCCGGGAGGCAGAGGTTGCAGTGAGCAGAGACTGTGAGACTGCACACCAGCCCGGGTGAAAGAACGAGACTCCATCTCAAAAAAAAAAAAAAAAAGAAAGATTTTCATACAGTTAATTGATTTGCCAAGCACAGGTCAATCTTGAACATCTGTCTGTTATTTTTATAGTTTATGATACACTCTCCTCTGTGGACTCCC